TTTTTTATTACGCATTAAACCAGTAAACTGGCTTTATAGCGACGCTTTAAGTTTAATGTTCTCGCCTCAGATTAGCTTAAAACATACTTTTATAGAACAACAGAAAAGAGAACTTTTAACTTAATCCTCTGAGCTCTGTGAGCGCTAACCTGAAAGCTGCTGCTGCCGCAGTGCATGCTGGGACAGCTGTCAGTCTGGAGAACGGACAAGTCTGCTCTGATGCATGCTGGGTAAAGAGGGAGGGGCCAGAACAACATCCAGGGACTTTGTCTGTTCTCGGTTTGCTGTTCTTGTGAATTTGAACAGTACTAGAGCTGAGGCTGATGACGTTTCATGAGGACGCACAAGAAAACGGATTAAGAAACGCCAGTGTTTGTGGAGAACTAGCTAGCCTCTGGTTAGCATGAAACCAGTTTAGTGGAAAACTCCGACCTGAAGGAGTGCATTCTGCCAAACATGACTCAGCACCGTTACATAGATGAATCCTTCCAGATGCAACAGATTAATTAGTGGTGAAAATGACCTGAATATAATATGTGCATCACAGTGACCCCATAAATACTAATTTAGTGAATTTTACTGAATATTTTAAATTTCATGAAATAAATCTGCTGAGTTCAAATTATTTTCTCTCTAAATAAGCAAAAACATTTTCCAAAATCTCCGAAAGCTTAAGGGAAATGCCGGTTTGTTCCTGAAACCCTGAGGCCTGTTGACGGATTGAAGACTAAAAATCCAACTTTATTCCAGTTAAATAAAAGTGATGTCATTCAAAGGCTCAGTGTTTAAATAAACGCAGTCAGAGTGGATGTTTACAGATGAATGACAGTAAACAGCAGCGGGATGCTGGTTCTGCTTTTAATGTTCCGTTTGCTCATTGGCAGCGGGTCAGACAGGCGGAGGACTGATGATTGGAGCCCTGATTCTGCAGCAGTTTTAAACTAAACCACCACGGCTCCCCTCACCATCCTTTGCTGGGCGCTTTGTCTGCCATGTTTAAGGTGGTTTAAATTGAGGCTTAAAGGGGGCGAACGTCAGACCGAAGCACCATGTCGCCCTGCGGCTTTGAGGTTCACCCTAGAATACGAGTCCGTACTCGTAACCTAAGTAGGTTCTTCACTAGAACAGATCCGTCTGGACTCTGGGAGAACAGGAGCACGTAGAATAAATCTGGATCAATTGGAACAGAAGCGTACTGATGACATCATCACACGCTCAGCTCCTCTGGAGCTCATTTCATCTCCTGTTATTAATCGTCTCTAGATAATAATAAATTCCTCCTTTTTTCATTTAGTGGGGGAATAATAATCAACTCAGTCAGATAAACACAAACCTCGTGTCCTCGTGAAATGCCATCAGCCTCAGCCCTGCTACTGTTTCAGTTCACTAGAACAGCAAACCGAGAACTGACAAAGTTCCCGCATGTTGTTCTGGCCCCTCCCTCTTTACCCAGCATGCATCAGAGCAGACTTGTCTGTTCTCCAGACTGACAGCTGTCCCAGCATGCACTGC